TGAAGTCCACAAGTCTTCAAGTTGCCATGGTTGGAGACCCCTGCTCAAGAGAGATTGGACCCTGGAGTGAGAACCCAGACCCAGTCTTGTCAAAAGGGGTGAACGTTGCACCACTGGAGGGTGGGGGGGTGTTGACCCGTTGGGACGCGAGACGCTTTGTGCAACTAGCCACAGGGTTGGTCGCCGGTTCAGCCTGTCGTGAGAAGCCGGACCGAGAAACCGGTTGGCTGGATTCAGAACCCGCCCCTGTCTCTGAGACCAATGCTGCTGGGCAGGAATGGATGGGACTCCAGTGCCCCTCGTTCCCAGCCAGCAAGGCCCCTGGAGGTGTGATGAGCAGCCGGGGAAGAGACTGGCCTCTGCGGTCCAGACGTGGGCAGCCTTTGTGCGTCAGGACATCGATTCGGTGGCCGCGGGCGGCTGGGGATCGATGAGACACACACACACGCACACCCCGCTCTCTCCTCGCTGGCTCCTCCAGACTCCGGAGCTCCCCCTTGGCTCGGGGACCTCCGGGCCTCGGCGGCTGGCAGGGGTGGCAGCTCCCTTGCAAGGCTCCACTTCTGGCTGGCGTGGAGCGAGCAAGCGGGTCGTTCTTCGGGGGGCCCTTTCCCTCCCCCTCCTTCTCTTCTTCCCTTCCCTTTGTCCTCCATTCCTTTCTTTTCCAAAGCGAGCGGAGTGGGAGGGCAAGGCTTTGCGCTGTCCTTGAGGCAGTCAAGGGCTCAACTCTAACACACACACACACACACACACACACGCCTTCTTCACCAACATGGCCGTCTGGCTCACACACAGAGAGATTCATTCTTTCATTCATTCATTCATTCATTCATTCATTCATTCATTCATTCGTGTTTCAATGCTTCCCGTCTCCCAAACCAGCTGACTCTGGGATGCTCAGCCCTTGAGCCGATTGGCGCAAAGCATTGAGCCTCCCTCCCTCCTTCCCGCGCCCCCCCTCCCCCCCCAAAGCCAGAGAGGTGGCATTTCCCGGTGCCCAACAGCCAGAGGCAGAACGGAGGCCCCGTTCGGCTCCTTCGGCTCCATTTGCCGCCGCTCTACGGATCCCGGCATCCTTTTCTTCTTTGCTGAACCACACAGGGATCCCAGCCAGCTGGGAATCGTTTAGTGGTGATGAAGAATTGATCCACAGAGCTCTTTGAAAAGGAGAGAAAAGCCCTCTGAATTGAGAACCACCTCACTGGATTTGAGGCCGTGGCGTCCGATCCACAACCGGTGGCAGGATCTCAAAAGAAACCGCCGGTGGAAGGAAACTAACCCCGCTGCTCTGCCATCAAGATATATTATGGCGTCTTCAGCTTCCCCACAGTCTACTAGGAAGTTCACCAATGAAAATAAGAGGTTGCTGGATCGCCTTCAAAGCCCATTGAAAAGCTCTCTGTGGCCTGCCCGGGATTCTTTGGTTTACCCAGGCGGTCCTCGACTTACGACCATTTGTTTAGTGGCCGTTCAAAGTGACAACGGCACTGAAAAAAAGTGACGTGGCCGTTTTTCACGGTTAGGACCGTTGCAACGTCCCTGTGATCCCACGATCAAAATTAAGATGCTTGTCAATTGAGTCACATCGATGAGGGTGGGAGGGTCCCGCGATCCCCTTTTCTGATGAGCAAAGTCAGATTTACTTAACAGCTGGGTTATTTTCAAGCGCAGTGATCCACTTAGCAGCCGTGGCAAGAAACGGTTGTAAAATAGAGCAAAACTGGCTTTAAAACGTCTCACTTAACAACAGAAATTTTGGGCTCAATTGTGGTCATAGAAGCCAGCGCTGTCTGAAGACGCCTCTGTGGTCATGTGGCTGCCATGACACTAAACACCAAAGGTGCCCTGAGGAACGTTGCCCCTTTCCCCACAAGGCCTCCCTATTTTTCTATTTGCGTTTCTTTAAGTGCTTTTGAATTGCTCGGTTGGCAGGAGCCAGGACAAGGAATGGGAGCTCCCTCCGTGACGCGGCGCTCGGGATTCGAACCACTGAACTGCTGAACTTCCCGATCGACAAGCTCAGCCTCTTAGCCCCTGAGCCACGGCGTCCCTTTTTCCTTCCGGTTGCTTATGAAAAAGTAATCAGCCTGACTTTTAGCCCTCAGTTTGGGGCCCTGAGGTACAATTCACACAGTCGGAAGTTCTAACCTTAACATTATGAGATTGTCATACAACGTTCATGACGTGCATCTGTCGCAGCCACAGTTTATTGTCAGGAGGAAAGGGTGTGGCCCCCAAGGGCAGGGCTGGAATGCCCCAAAGCACCCAGTGATGCTTCCAAGCTGGCCTTCTTTATCTCTCCACACCAGGAGACAGAATCTTGCCAAGCTGGTAACCTCTTTTCTGGTAACCATTGAGAAGGAGCTGTCTTCGCCCTCTTCGCTCACACCAACTATCTGAACCGAGATAGTTACTCTTATTCCGCGGGAATACACGCCCTCCCTTCTGGGAATCTGGCTACATTCCATCAACCAACCTACCTACCTACCTTCCTTCCTTTCCTTTCCTTTCCTCCCTCCCTCCCTCCTTCCCTCCCTTCTTCCCTCCCTTCTTTCCTTCCTTCCTTCTTCCTTCTTTCCTTCTTCCCTCCCTCTCTCCCTCCTCCCTCCCTTCCTCAGATGTGCCGAGAGGTGAGTCAGGGATTGATGGATCGCTTTCTCTGCCTTGCTTTCTCTGGCTTTGATCATCCTTGTAGCCCCGTTGTAGAATTCAAGCGTGCAGCAACACGAGGCGGAGGTTGAATTCCTTGGCAACCTGCTGCCTGTGGTATTCAGAAGGAAGCGATGCTCAGAGCGGTTTCTATGGCGGCTGCGTTTTTGAGCCGGTCCCCAAAGTGGCAAAGTGCACAATGAACAGGAGGCGAGCAGAAGGGGACATCGCGCAACCGGAATCCAAGACT